ACCTAGAGCCGCAGTACCAATGCCCGGGTCGGGCGGGAAACACCGGTAACAGTCACCCTCCTCACTAATAGTCACAGCATACAAAGCAGCAAGAATAGCATCAAAGTCAAGATCAAAGATAGCTACTCCAGCCCTAGACAGCTGGTCCCAGCGAGGGATCTCAGAGGCGTCAGGAAACTGGCGGCGCCAAGCGTCAGTCAGGCGGCCGAAGCAACGCTGGGCGGAGTGTGGACCACCATACTGCTCACCCGCACGGTCGCCAGTGCGCAGGACGTAAGTGCACGGACCAGTACCCCCACCCCGCTGACGCGCAGAGTACCACTCACGGAGCTGCTGCGGGGAGAGGGTCTCCTGACCACGCTGCTGCTGCTGGCGCTGACCACCACCGGAGCCACTCCTCCTCGGCGCGCCACGACCCCCACCGCCTCCTCCGCCGCCGCCGCCACCACCTCCACCGCCACCGCCACTCCCACCGTCCCCGCCGCCACCGCCGCCTCCGCCTCCACCCCCACTACCACCGCCGCTGCCGCCCCCGCCTCCACTGCCTCCGCCGACACCTCCACTCCCGCCGACACTCCCGCTACCACCCTCACCTCCACCGCTGCCTCTACCTCCGCCTCCACCGCCCCCGCTGCCTCCACCACCGCCCCTGCCCCCCTTGCTCTTGCCAGAGCGACGTCTCCCGCTGGGGGCAGACGCCGCTCCGACCGACTCAAAACCAACAAGGTCGGCCGTAGCAGCAGAGGCGACAGAGGGCAGGAGGGGGGAGGGGGAACACCCCTCAAAGATGGGGGCGCGCGGGTCACCACGAGAGGCCCCTACAGCGAGAATGCTCTTCTCGGCTGCTAGGAGGGACTTCTCGAGGATCTCGACAGTGAGAGTGGTGGGGCAGACTGCGAGTAGGTCGTCCCTGACTCCGCGAAGGGAGTCAGGGAGGCGGGTGACAATGTAGTAGAGAGTGAAGTACTGGGGGGGGGGGTTCTTGGCGCAGAACTCAGCAGGAAGTGCAGCGCGGAAACGAGCGTCACTAGTGCGCAGGTGGGTAATGAGGTCGGCGACTGTGGCAAAAGCAGCAAGGTCGGGAAAGAGGTACGGTAGCATGAGGCGGCTCAGTGCAGCAGTGGCAGGGGTGGAGTAGCGTGCGATAACGGCGTCGTACAAGGTCTTAGCACTCTTGTACGACCCAAAGTGCGCACGCTCAGCGGGAGGGAGGTGGCGACGCACAGCAAGACGTGCAGCACCATCGCGTGTGGCCCACACTGAGCAAACAGTGGCATCCTCAGTAGCAGCAGGGGCGGGAGAGGCACCAGAAGTGAGATCAAAGAGAGAGAGGCCGTCAGCTCTGTCGCACTGTAGGAAAAGCAGTAGGTCGTCTACCCACACGTCAAAGTCAATGGCTCTGCCCGTCAAAGGCGAGGACACTGGGGGTAGCCATGACAGCAGTAGAGAGAGGGCAGTGCGCAGAGTAAAGCTCAGTGCTCACCAGACAAGGCAGTGCAGGGAGGGCTCGGGCGGCTCGGGCGGCCTGGGCGGCTCGGGCGGCTCTGGCGGCTCGGGCGGCTCGACTGCTGGGCGGCTCGGGCAACGCGGCGGCTCGGGCGGGTCGGGCGGCACTGCAGCTGGGGCGGCTCGGCTGCTGGGGCGGCTCCGCTGTTGGGGCAGCTCGGCTGCTGGGGCGGCTCGGCGGCTGGGGCGGCTCGGCTGCTGGGGCGGCTCTGCTGCTGGGGCGGCTCGGCCGGGAGTTGCAGGGGCGGGGCCGTCAGGTGCAGCGGCGGGTCGACCGGTGCAACGGCGGGCCAGCAGGTGCAGCGGCGGGGCCGTAGGGTGCAGCGGCGGGCCGGTAGGTGCAGCGGCGGGGCCGTCAGGTGAAGCGGCGGGCCGCTGGGTGCAGCGGCGGGCCGTAGGTGCAGCGGCTGGGCCGTCAGGTGAAGCGGCGGGCCGCTGGGCGCAGCGGCGGGCCGTAGGGTGCAGCGGCGGGCCGGCAGGCGTAGCGGCGGGGCCGGCAGGTGAGGCGGCGGGCCGTAGGGTGCAGCGGCGGGCCGTAGGGTGCAGCGGCGGGCCGGCAGGTGCAGCGGCGGGGCCGTCAGGTGCAGCGGCGGGCCGGCAGGGCCGCGTCAGAGCAGGCGGCGGGGCCGCGACAGTGGAGGCGGCGGGGCCGCGTCAAGCAGGCGGCTGGGCCGCGTCAGTGGAGGCGGCGGGGCCGCGTCAAGCAGGCGGCGGGGCCGCGATCAGGAGGGGCAGCGGGGCCGCGAGGGAAATGGCGACTCGAGGGGTCGCTAAAAGAAAATGCGCGCCTCGGGGCACGCTTCGGTGGGCCCTAAAAAAATGGTCCTTAGGAAGGACCCGCTCTATACCATGTGAAACAAGAAACAGGAATGGGAATGACTAAGGAAATATTGGGTACAAATACAACCCTAGAAACCCTGTACCCCATATGTGCTACCCCACTATAGCCTACAGCAACTATGTCATATAAATCTGACATTTCTCCAGTGGCCAATCGGGTGATTTGTCCTCTCTCGGGGGGCCTCGATTTACTCGAGTGGCCACGAAATTGGGTGATAATTACTCGAGTGGCCACGCCAGGGGATTCCTGCTCGCTTTTTTTTCACCGGCGAATTACCCTACGGGGATTTGTAGCCCCGAAATTCCTTATTCGTGCGAGTGGTATCCCTAGGTAGTGTTCCGTTCTGTTCCGCAACTTAAAATTTCGCCAGGCTCACGGACGCGAAAGTGGCCCGCCCACTGTACAAGAAACCGACCAACAGTACATTGACCGGTCAATTTCGGCCAAATGCACGACCAATGAGCGCGCGGTCCATCTAGTTAACATCCAATCAGCGATCGAGCATATGACTTCGCGATCATATACTGCATTTCACCCGAAACGAACCGAAACAGCAAAACGACCGCGCTCGATTGGTCAGGAGATTGAGTGGTGCATTTGTTGCCACTGCGCGTCTAATCAGGCACAAGATTTACGGATTGCCGATCATATTTGAACGCGTTCATTAAACACAATTTACTATATGATCCCGCCAATCATATACTAAATAGTCTCGCACAAAAGTTTCGAATTAACGCACTCAAACTGGTTTGGTATGCCCTTTTCAACTTCCCGCGCTTCATCATTTGATCCATATGCTACAGATTGCTCACACCATTTCCTCTCGTCGTTTTAGGGTTCACATCTACCTTAGCCCTTGATTAGACCAGTTAGGTCCTTAAAGGAGGTTCATCTGGGAGGTCCTACGGTTATATCGTTCATATTAACCGCAATGAGTTCGACGTCTTATACTTGTAACACAGAGTCCGACTCAGGGGATGAGGACACAGAGTTTTGCTTCGTTGGAACCGGAGAGCCCAAACAAAGTGATATGTACCGTGCGTTGCTGCGGGAAATGGTCGTCGACGAGGCCCCATCGCCACAAATCGTCATAGACGATCGAGCACCGTTGTGTGAAGGTCAGCTATACTCCTCTAAGAAATTTTTGTACGAAGCACTAGAGCACTATTCGGTAGCTTGCAACTTTGGTTTTAGGGTTACGAGGAGTAGGCGAAACAGAGCCCAGGCCATATGCATGAGTAAACATGAGCGTCGTAAACCTGCGTGCCGGTGGCGGTGTGAGTACTCTACTGACGGAGTGGGTGGGTTTTGGCGTGTTGACAAACTGTCCGCCCCATCATCCCATTGCTGCTCAGTCGTTGATCGGGACCGCTACGTGCAACACACGACAAATAAAGTGTCATATCTGCAGCGTCATCACGGCAATCTTGTCCAAGCTGCACCACATCACCCTCCCGGGACGTACAAGGAACAGATTGCGTCTACTGGTGGTCCCGATATATATTATCAGCAATCATGGCGGTACGTTTCCAAACGTTCGATCCACATGACCGCCATTGTCACATGCACGTTCTTAATCGCCCCATCCACCTCATGTTTGTGGGTACCTGCTTCTGTTTTCTTGTACACCGTCGTCTGTTTCTGCAGGCTAAAGGAAAAGATGTTGAAGGAACGTTTTGGATATTGGAAAACTTCTTTTCGCTACATTCCGCGGGTCTTGGAACGGTTCAAAGAGATAGACCCACATTCAACGCTCGACCTGGTGACAAAGGATCACGCTTTCTTCCGGGCTTTTGTCGCCCCATCGGCGTCATGAACAGCTCTAAGGTTCTGTCGACCAGTCATTGGTATGGATGGTACATTTCTCATTCGTGCGCAGCGGGCCACGCTCTTGGTAGCAGCTGCTAAGGATGGAAATAACCAGCTTGTTCCACTTGCTTATGGCCTGTGCAAGAGTGAGAACAAAGATAGTTGGATGTGGTTTTGTGCGAACTTGTTGAAGCATTTTCCGTCGTGGCCGGACACCCAGGATGCCTCCCTCATCAGCGATCGTGACAAGGGGTTAATACCGGCGGTTAAAGAAGTTTTCCCAACCCAGTTCCCCCACTACTTTTGCAGCTGGCACTTGGAACAGAATGTGCTCAAGTTTGGCCCTAACGCCTCTGAACTCTTCAAGAAGCTCGCCAACTGCCGCACCAAGCGGAAGTTTGGCAAACTCGTGAGGAGATGCCGGGCCGAATGTGCTGGAATGGCTAACTATCTCTTTGGGGTCGAGGAGACTAGTGCGCAGCAGACCCGCGGCGGACGCGGGGCCAACCAGCGTGCACGGGAGCCAGAGGCAGGGGATGGGTTTGGAAGCCGCACGGGTGCCGCAAGAAGAGCGAGAATGGCAAGGACGGAAGTGCGGCGGCAAATGAGGAGTGGTCGCAGGGGACAGCAGCAGGCACCATCACAGCAGGCACCATCATAGCAGGCACCTTCTCGGCAGACACCATCTGAGCAACGACCATTTCAGCAGCCACCATCTCAGCAAACACCGTCAAATCAGAGAAGGGTACATCAGCAGCAACCATCCCAACAGCCATCATCCCAGCAGCAGCCATCTCAGCAGCAACCATCTCAGACGCCCTATAGGGACCATGGGTTCGGACCCATGCCAACTGCAAATCTTACGCGTGACCGCCCTAGTGACATGCAGCCTCAATCTACGGCTGCTGACAACGTGCATCCACTTGAACGTGTCACAGCAACCACGTCCGATAGAGAGATAGAGCACCCTTCTTTGGCAGGCGAGAATGCAAGAGATAGAGCTACAACCATATCCGATAGTGAGGCCGAGGCAGATACCACAGAAGAAGTGTTCAAGGAGCACTTTGACGTGGAGGATGGGAGCCAAATCAGCTGCGGGGAGGAGCCGGGGCCTGATGAGGATGAGGAGCGTGCAGACATGGGTCACAGCTCCCAATCCACCAATACTGCAACTCATCCTCTATCCACCACAACAGCGCAACAAGCGGCCATGAGAAGCCAACGGCAGATGGAAATTATTAGGGGAAGGCGAAATGCAAGAGAGGCAGGTGCAAGAGGGCGGGAACGAGCTGGAACACCAGTAGCACGGCTGCCAACGCAAGGGAGCCAAAGTGCGCGTCAGCCAACACCGCAGCAGGGTGTTAAGACAGACATGGGTCAGGCCAACGACGCCGCAGAGGCCACGGACGTCAACCACGGACGACAAACGGGACTGGGGGGCTTGGGCAATGCGGATGCTGAGCGGGTGGACAGTGACACCATGGAGGAAGGGGCGGCCATTATTGTGCGCACGGGCCAGGATGGACCGAGAAACAAGAGGAGGAAAAAAATCACAATATTCATCAAGCAATGGGCACGGTGTTATGCCCTCATATGTCGGTTTGGCATCTACAGCAGCCAGATGGTGGAGTCCATCAACAACGCCATTAAGAAGATCCGCATCTTGCCGGTATCTTACGTAATGGCGGGCATGTGGGATTGGATGGCAAAAATCTACTCGGATGGGCAGCGGAAGTCATCCAACTGGCAGCATGCATTGACGGTTGAAGCTGAGAAGCGGTTTGATCTGAAACAGAACCGAAGCCGAGGATACAGGGTCACACGAAATGGTCCAAGCAAGGCAATGGTTCGGAACAAGGGGAGCGCGTTGGATCGACGTCCTCTCTCCTTCAACAATGATGTGGGAGAGAGAATGTGCGAGTGCAAGAACTGGCAAGAATATCGGTTTCCCTGTTCTCATGCGTTTGCACACTTACGGGATAGGCAAATGGATGTTATCCCCTTGATCACCAGGTATTGGAAGACGAACAATTGGAGAAGGACGTACTCGGCGCTCATTCCGTATTCGTGTATAGACACGGTCATTGCAGAGACCAAGCCCGTTGAGGGGGGAGTTTGTGATCCCCCCGTTTTTGTGCAGAGAGGATCAGGGCGGCCACAATCTAACCGAAGGCGTGAAGCACCAAAGTGGACATACAAGTGTGGCGACTGTGGGTCTACTCAGTATACCAGGAAGAAGTGTAAGGGAAAATATGGGGGGTCAGAGGTGTATCATGTAGCAAACTAATGGGGGGGTGCAATAACGTGCTTAGTCTTGAATAATAGGGACTGTGGTAGGCTGCTTGTTCTTTGCTTCTAGATGAATATTGGTGACTGCCAAGAAAAAAGATTAATGATCCCACATATGACCAGTCATATAACTTTACGCTCCTGACCAATAATATACTCTCGAACAATTGAATGGCCCTATAGTATACCGCATTTGACCAGTAATACACACACGCACAGATGACTGCGCATATGCTCCCGCGTATATGACCGGTCATATACACATGAACACGTGACTGGTCGAAACACAACGCGCATATGAACGGTCCACTAGCCAAATTTTTGGGTTCGTTGTTAACGCACGCTCATACCGTTACGTGCGAAAGACAGATACAGTATAGTAGTTTAGTTAGTGCTATAAATACAATGAAATAATGGTTGTATAGGTCAAAACTCCCACAGATATGTTGTGATGCTCCGTAAGTTGATATAGAAACATGTATTCACGCATATGGTGTCATGCAGTAGGCTGGAGAGCTGTGTCGGCACTGCATTACGACTCTCTAATCGGGAATGCATAGAATATGAATTTAGTCATCATTGTGTACCCATGACCGTGCAGAGATTTAACTCTTCGTGCACGGTGCGTTTGTGACATAGTACATTCAACAAACCCCGTTTAACAAATGATGCACCATGGTCACGCCTGTCCGCTATTCTTTACGCTCCATGTGCCTATTGTGTATTGCAGGCGTGGCAGATGCCTCTGCAGCAGAACGTTTTTTACTGCGGCATCTTCGTCTGCCAGTACATTCATGCGCTTGTGGAGGCGTGCTTCGAAGGTGCTGAGAATGGGGTGCGGTTCAGCATGAGCCCATTGGCGTACCGTCGTGGGTTACGGGATGATGTGTGCGCTCTTGCAGAGGGTCGGCTGATCGGCGAGCTCACGGCAGCAGGGCATGAGATCCCTTGTGGCAATGAGATAAGGAAACCACCTGAGGTCGATGTGATTGGTGATGAGGTGGAGGATAGGGAGTGGAGAGCAGAGATGGCAGAACGGATGCATCGGCACTTGACCAGTAATACACACACGCACAGATGACTGCGCATATGCTCCCGCGTATATGACCGGTCATATACACATGAACACGTGACTGGTCGAAACACAACGCGCATATGAACGGTCCACTAGCCGAATTTTTGGGTTCGTTGTTAACGCACGCTCATACCGTTACGTGCGAAAGACAGATACAGTATAGTAGTTTAGTTAGTGCTATAAATACAATGAAATAATGGTTGTATAGGTCAAAACTCCCACAGATATGTTGTGATGCTCCGTAAGTTGATATAGAAACATGTATTCACGCATATGGTGTCATGCAGTAGGCTGGAGAGCTGTGTCGGCACTGCATTACGACTCTCTAATCGGGAATGCATAGAATATGAATTTAGTCATCATTGTGTACCCATGACCGTGCAGAGATTTAACTCTTCGTGCACGGTGCGTTTGTGACATAGTACATTCAACAAACCCCGTTTAACAAATGATGCACCATGGTCATGCCTGTCCGCTATTCTTTACGCTCCATGTGCCTATTGTGTATTGCAGGCGTGGCAGATGCCTCTACAGCAGACGCCGCGCCGACCGACTCAAAACCAGTGAGGTCGGCCGCAGCGGCAGAGGCGACAGAGGGCAGCAGGGGGGAAGGACCACACCCCTCAAAGATGGGGGTGCGAGGGTCACCCCGAGAGGCCCCTACAGCGACAATACTCTTCTCAGCCGCTAGCAGGGACTCCTCAAGGAGGTCGACAGTGAGAGTGGTGGGACAGACAGAGAGAAACTGGTCCCTAACGACACGAAGGGACTCAGGGAGACGGGTGACGAGAAAGTAGAGAGTGATGTACATGGGAGGAGGGTTCGCAGCGCGGAACTCAGCAGGAAGGGCAGCGCGGTAGCGGGTGTCACTAGCACGGAGGTGGGTAACGAGGTCAGCGACAGTGGGAAAGGAAGCGAGGTCAGGGAAGAGAAACGGTAGCATGAGGCGGCTAAGGGTAGCGGAGGAAGGGGAGGAGTAGCGTGCAACTACAGCGTCGTACAAGGCCTGAGCGGTCTTGCACTGACTAAAGTGGGCACGCTCAGAGGAAGGGAGGTGGCGACGCACAGCAAGACGTGCAGCAGCATCGCGGGTCGCCCACTTGGAGCGAACGGCAGAGTCAGCATCAGCAGGTGGGGCAGGGACAGCGCCAGAGACAAAGTCAAAGAGAGAGACCTCATCTATCGCATCACACAGTAAGTACAGCTGCAGGTCTTCAATCCAGACGGCAAAGTCAATGGCCCTCCCCTCAGCGTCAAAAGTAAGAACATTGGGGGTGGCCATGGCAGCAGCTGAAAGTCTCACTGGGCTGGGAGAGTCGGGTAGGTCAGCAGCAGAGGAACACAGCTCAGGAACAGCAGCACGGCTCCTCAGGCGGCTCGGGCGGCTCGGGCGGCTCGGGCGGCTCGGGCGGCTCGGGCGGCTCGGGCGGCTCGGGCGGCTCGGGCGGCTCGGGCGGCACGGGCGGCTCGGGCTGCTCGGGCGGCGGCTCGGCCGCAGCTCAGCGGCGGCTCGGGTGGCCCGGGCGGCGGCTCAGGCGGCGGCGGCTCGGCGGCGGCTCGGCTGTTGCTGGGCGGCTCGGCTGATGCTGGGCGGCTCGGCGGGGCCGCGTAGCAGAGGGCGGCGGGGCCGCGACCGAAGAGGGCGGCGGGGCCGCGTAGCAGAGGGCGGCGGGGCCGCGTAGCAGAGGGCGGCGGGGCCGCGTAGCAGAGGGCGGCGGGGCCGCGATCGAAGGGCGGCGGGGCCGCGTAGCAGAGGGCGGCGGGGCCGCGTAGCAGAGGGCGGCGGGGCCGCGTAGTAGAGGGCGGCAGGGCCGCGTAGCAGAGGGCGGCGGGGCCGCGTAGTAGAGGGCGGCGGGGCCGCAATCGAAGGGCGGCGGGGCCGCGTATCAGAGGGCGGCGGGGCCGCGTGGCAGAGGGCGGCGGGGCCGCGTAGCCGAGGGCGGCGGGGCCGCGATCGAAGGGCGGCGGTGGGGCCGCGTAGCAGAGGGCGGCGGGGCCGCGATCGAAGAGCGGCGGGGCCGCTAGGGAAGGGCGGCGGAGCCGCTAGGGGAAGGGCGGCGCAACGGGCCGCTAGGGGCGACACGACGGGTCGCTAAAAAAAAAAACGCGCCTCGGGGCGCGGTTCGGTGGGCCCTAGAAGCAGTCCCTAGGAGGGAACCTGCTCTGATTCCATGTGAAAGCAAAGAACGAGAATGAATGACTATGAAGTGAAGTGAATACAAATAGGAAACCCTAATGTGTTGTACCCCCTATGGGATACCCCACTATAGCCTACACAAACAAGTAAGCTATATGTTCTGACAGCTCATACCGTTACGTGCGAAAGACAGATACAGTATAGTAGTTTAGTTAGTGCTATAAATACAATGAAATAATGGTTGTATAGGTCAAAACTCCCACAGATATGTTGTGATGCTCCGTAAGTTGATATAGAAACATGTATTCACGCATATGGTGTCATGCAGTAGGCTGGAGAGCTGTGTCGGCACTGCATTACGACTCTCTAATCGGGAATGCATAGAATATGAATTTAGTCATCATTGTGTACCCATGACCGTGCAGAGATTTAACTCTTCGTGCACGGTGCGTTTGTGACATAGTACATTCAACAAACCCCGTTTAACAAATGATGCACCATGGTCATGCCTGTCCGCTATTCTTTACGCTCCATGTGCCTATTGTGTATTGCAGGCGTGGCAGATGCCTCTACAGCAGAACGTTTTTTACTGCGGCATCTTCGTCTGCCAGTACATTCATGCGCTTGTGGAGGCGTGCTTCGAAGGTGCTGAGAATGGGGTGCGGTTCAGCATGAGCCCATTGGCGTACCGTCGTGGGTTACGGGATGATGTGTGCGCTCTTGCAGAGGGTCGGCTGATCGGCGAGCTCACGGCAGTAGGGCATGAGATCCCTTGTGGCAATGAGATAAGGAAACCACCTGAGGTCGATGTGATTGGTGATGAGGTGGAGGATAGGGAGTGGAGAGCAGAGATGGCAGAACGGATGCATCGGCTGGAGGTTCGCAACAAGAGTCAGGCGGTGGCTATTGCCAAGCTTGAGAGGCAATTACGGGAGCTTATGCTAGATCGTCCTCCGCATCATGGTGTTGACTCTGCCGCTGTAGGGGAAGGGCATGGTGATGTGGCACCGGACGGTGGACCTGGTGCTCCGGCACCCGTGGTAGTCATGGGTGGGGACAATGGTGGCAAACATGACAGCATAGGAGGTGCACATGGTGAGGGTCCTGTGGCTGACGTTGAGACGGATGCAGTGAATGTCAGTGTGCGTGAAGGTGGTGTGGAGGGGGATACACCTGTCGGTGCGAGGAGTGACAATGGAAAAGCGAGGGTGCATGATGCAGGTGCTGGAGGCATGATGGGTACTACGGATGGAAACAGAGGTGCTGGAGAGGCCATGGGTGCTGGGCATGGTGTGACAGCATCGAATGTGAATGTGGTGCCTGCACACAGCGCAGGGACTGAGACGACGAGTCGCAACACGACGCGTGGTCGAGCTCTTAGCTCAGGTTACACAGGTATAAGCAAATAGGAAGGTAAGTGGGCCGCACGACTGTGCATTGATAGCGCTAATAACAAGTTCCTTGCGCTGGGACGGTACACCGAGATCTTGGATGCCGCAACAGCCTATGCAGCAGCCGCTCACATCTGCCGACCGTCCATCTCCAGTTCTAAAATGGTGGAGTTGAGCGAGGAGGATAGGAGGTGCTTGGAGGGTCTGAGTTCGATTGGGGTTGAGAGGATTGTGGAAGCCAAGCGGTGGGCGGAGTGGAGGAACTGGCGTGTAGTGCTCAGCAGCCTCCCCGAGCCTTCCACCCCAGCGCCAGCAGGAGTTCACACACAGGCTCCACCTCCCTTTTCCCACCAGCACCCTAGACCCACGTTCGGCAACTATCACACGCCAGCTGCCGCTTTCGTGGGACAGGCCAGTGCATCCCTAAACCATGGTGGATGGCAGCCGTACACCCAGAGCAACCATCTGCCCAACCTCCATTTTCCATTTTTCAACCACATCCCTATCCATCCGTTCAGCCAGGTGCAAGCACCTATGTCGGTACCCCCAGCCGGTTCAGTACCCAACCCTGCTGGCCATGTCGCAACACAGAACACAGCACCCCATCCGCATGCTGTTGAGATAGAGGCGAGAAATGAGTGCACTATGAAACGAAACAAGTACAAGTACCAACCCTAATTGGGTTGTACCCCCTATGGGCTACCCCACTACAGCCTAAATATATGCATCAGTAATATAATCATCTGACACACCCCCATAGGCAAAGTGGGGGAGAGCAAGGGGTCACAAGACCAGTCAAGCAAAGCAAAGCAAAGCAAAGCAAGCTCAGGGTGGATCTCAAGGATACCACACAAATTCCGAGCACAAGGTCAAGGCCACAAGGCCAGTTCACATGCAGCAGAGCATATATATATAACAGTGCTAAACAAGCAAGAGCAAGGATATATATATGCACCAGTACAAGCAAGGTCAAGAGGTAAGCAAGTGAGGCCCAGTGGGCACAAGGCCTAGCAGAGTGCAAAAGCGCTGATGGTCACGAGGCGGAAGTGCCTTGGTGAACACATCAGCAGTGTTGGCCTCAGTGGCTACGAAACGCAGGCGAAGCTGACCACGCTGCTGCAGCTCTCGAGCAAAGAAGTAGCGCAGAGCAATGTGCTTCGTCCTGTGCTCCAGTCTGTGCTCCTCACACAAGGCAATGGTTGCCTTGTTGTCGACGTACAGTACTGGAGGAGAACGAGGCCGCTCTCCAAGGTCAGTCACCAGGTAGGTGAGCCAGCGAAGCTCCTGGGCAGCCATGGCCGTGGCGTAGATCTCAGCCTCACAGCTGGAGCTGAGAACCGAAGAAGAGCAAGTAGAGCGCCAAGAGACAGAGCCAGAGCCAAGACTGAAGGTGTAACCCTGAGACGACCTCTGAGTAGCCTGGTCGTCAGCCCAAGAAGCGTCTGAGTGCCCAGTGAGCACAGGCCGCTCACGCCCTCCAAGCACTAGCCCCATGCCCGACGTACTGCACAAGTAGCGCAACACCCTCTTAGCTGCATCCATGTGCTCCTTCCGGTGACGGCCGGGAGCAACATAGCGTGCTAAGATGCTGAGAGGGTATGCGAGGTCAGGTCGAGTGCAAGTCATCAGGTACATGAGGCAGCCCACAAGCTCTGGATACGGACCACTCGACTCTACGGACTCATCCGAAGGCAGAGCTGAGAGCGAGTGTCCCGTAGGCAGAGGAGTGGACTGAGGCGAGGAGTACGTGAAGCCGAAGCGCTGAAGGACCTGCTGCACCATGTGTGACTGAGTCAGGGTAATGGTGCGGCGTGCTCTGTCCCGGGTGATCCGCAAGCCAAGATAGCTTGTCAGTTCACCCAGGTCTGTGCACGTGTGTCTCTTCTGCAGCTCGGACTTCACGTGGGCGAGTGCGGCAGTGTCCGCAGTGGCAAAGACCAAGTCGTCGACGTACACGAGGATGTTGAACGGCGGCAGCGAGGTGTCGGTGCGCAGAAACAGCGACGGGTCAGCAGTAGAAGGAGCAAACCCAAGAGCCGCAAGTGTAGTCCTCAGTGTGTCGTGCCACTCACGCGGCGCCTGGCGAAGACCGTAGACTGGCCGCCGGAGGCTCCACTGGGTACCGGGAGGGAACGACCCAGTGAAGCCAGGAGGGCGGCGCAGCCAGATCTCCTCGTGCAGGCGGCCCTGCAGGAAAGCAGTGCTGAAGTCAAGAGAGTGTAGCTCGTAGTCACGCTGAGCAGCGACGTGCAGTGGAACCCGAAGAGTGGTCATCTTCGGGGTCGGGGAGAAGGTCTGAAAGAAGTCAACTCCCTGTCGCTGAGTGAAGCCACGAGCCACGTAGCGCGCCTTGAAGACAGGCGGAGAACCCGGCGGCCGCTTCACCCTGAAGATCCACATGCCACTGACAATGTTCGCCCCAGGAGGGGGAACAGCGTCAACGTAGGTGCCTGTGGACTTCCAGGAAGCCATCTCTGCGTCCATGGCTGACTGCCACTGAGAGGAGTAGGGACCGGCCATCGCCTCTGCGTAAGAGCGTGGGGTCGGGATGTCTAGAGCATCCGGGTCTCCCTTAGGGGCAACAAGCATGGACACGAGATGGGGCAAAGCGGCGGCAAAGCACTGGAACTCCTCCTGCCTGTCCTCAAGGACGTCCGTGCCAAGAGCACGGTCACCCCCGACGGACGGAGGACAGGCAGACGCAGACGCAGCAGACGCAGACTCAGCAGACTCAGTAGACTTAGCAACAAGACTGGCAGCGTAGTCCAGACGACACGCAGCAGCAAAGTCGACCAGCTCAGCAACTAGGGCAGACGCAGCAGCGGACTCAAAGGAAGGGTCAGTGACAAGAGTAGCAAGAAGACGCGTGACAGTAGGACTGGCAGCATGGTGAGAGTCCGACTCCGGGTCGGCAAGAGCAGGAAGAGAAGACTGAGGAGGAGAAGGCAAAGGGGCACGCAGAGGAGCAGTGGACGGACGCAGAGACATCTGGTGCGTGCCAGGGACAGGAGGAGGACGCTGACGCGAACCGCGACCACTAGTGCGAGCAGCACGGACTGGCGACACAGGGCGGGACGCAGGCTCACGACGCTCAGCAAGACCTCCAAAAGGACCAACGTAGGGAGAAGGAGAAGGCAGAGGAGAGGCGGGCTGTAACTGTGACCGTGACGGGACAGGCTGCGGACACTCTACGGGAGGAGAAGGACCAGTGGAAGGCGGGAGACCAAGAACCTGCTGAAGGAGCGGAATGAAGTACGGCCGAGGCCGCGCAGCACCGCCAGAGACAGCAGGGACAGGACCAACACCTCCAGAGGCAGCACCAGCACCAGTAGCAGCTCCAACTCCAGCACCACCAGCAGCTGCAGAAGTACCCGCAGTAGGACCGACAGTCGTAGCCTCAGCGCCAGCACCCGCAGCAGCTCCAGCTCCAGAGGCACCCCCGGGCCCGGCAGCTCCAGTACCCTCAGTACGAGCACCTCCGGGACCAGTGGTACCAGCTCCCTCGGCAGCAACGGAACCTCCAGCACCCGCAGTACCCCCAGCTCCAGCAGCTCGCCTCCAGCGCCGGGCAAACCACTCACGCAGCTCCAGAGGAGAGAGCGGCTCGCGGCGCGAAGAACGGTCTGGAGGACCACCAGGAACAGAAGCAGCAGGCGCAGCACTCCCAGACGCAGAACCCCCAGGCTCAGCACCCCCAGGCACAGCACCCCCAGGCACAGCACCCCCAGGCTCAGCACCCCCAGGCTCAGTACCCCCAGGCTCAGCACCCCCAGTCTCAGCACCCCCAGGCTCAGTACCCCCAGGCTCAGCACCCCCAGGCTCAGCACCCCCAGTCTCAGCACCCCCAGGCTCAGCACCCCCAGTCTCAGCACCCCCAGTCTCAGCACCCCGAGGCTCCGCACCCGCAGCAGCACCAGAGTCACCAGTGACCTCGACAGGCTCGACCGCGTCTACCTGAGACACACCTGAAGGGGCAGGACCCTGAGGGGGGAGGGGGTCTACCGGGGGGGGACCTGGGACCAGGAAGAGGGGCGGGGGGGGGAGGGACGGAGTGCGGTAGGGGAAGAGCCGGTAGAAGGGAACCGACTCGTCGAACGTGACGTCCTGGGAGGACAAAACACGACGAGAGGTGGGGTGGTAAAACTGCCACCCAGGTGCGTCAGGGGGGAAACCCAGGAAGACGCAAGGAGCAGCACGAGGGGACAGCTTGTCCGCAGACAAGTCGCGGACAAACGCCCGAGATCCCCAGACACGGAACGCCGACGCATCGCCAACCTTCCCCGTCCACAGCAAAGCTGGGGAGGTCTCCGGTCTGGAGACGCTGGGCTGAAGGTTGATCTGATGTGCGGCGTACCGAACCGCAAACGGCCACAGAAAATGGGGGGCAGCCGCATGCACCATGGACGTACGGGCGACGTCCATGACAATGCCGATGCGGCGCTCAGCAATCCCATTCTGCTGTGGAGAGTCCGGAAGCGTGAAGGTCTGGCGGATGCCTCGTGCCCGACAGTAGGCTCGCAGAAGGCCGGAGGAGAACTCTCCGCCTCTGTCCGAGTGCAGACGCAAAACAGGAAAGTCCGAGCCGAAGCTCCGCCTGAGCTGGAGACGAGCTGCGCGGATCCAGTCGATCAACACCTCAGTGACCTCACCCTTGCTGCGCAAGGGGAAGACTGTGGTGTAACGCGAGTAGTCGTCAACCACCAGCAGGAAGTAGCGCTCGTGACCCTGTCCACGAACGCGGGCTGGGCCCCACACGTCCATGTGAAGCGTCTGCATCGGGGCCTCTGTCGGAGGAAACTGGGAGGAGTGAGGGGCAGCACGCTGGCGCCCCTCGACACAGGGGACACAGGCAGGGCCAGGCCCCGGAGGAAGGGGAGGGAGGGACCGGGGAAGGCCAGAGACAAGAAGGCGAGAGGCCATGCCCCGGAGACGAGGCAGGGAGGGGTGACCCATCCTGTGGTGCCACAGGAGGGTCTCGTGGGACAGGAGGCGACACGAGCAGGGGGCAGACTCAGGAC